CTGACGTTTCAGGCCTAGACCCTTCTTCAGATTTTTCTGAAGGGCCTAGGCCCGAAACGTCAGCTTTCCTGCTCCTCTGATGCTGCTTGGCCTGCTGTGATCATCCAGCTCTACACCTTGTTATCTCAGGGGAGTTATGGGAGTCTCTTGATCAAAAAGCAAGGTTTTAAGGAGAGGTAGAGAGGGAGGGAGTTCTGGGGTTTAGGGCCCAGGTAGCTGAAGGCACTACTTCGGTTGTGGAGAGGTGAAAATCCTGCTCGAGAAGAGAGTCTGACCTGGAGGAATTGGATTGCAGAGAGAGGTAATGGGTGAGGCAGGAGAAGGGCTTGAATATAAGGATGGAAAATTTAAAAGCAAAGTGCTCTTAGACCAGGAGTCAATGTGAGTCAAAAAGCCCAGAGGAAGGTCATTCAGCACTACATACTTTCTAAATTCAGTGAATTCAGCCATTGGCTGGGAGACCAGCAGAAAATTCTCTTTGCGCACCCCCACCCTCTTCCAGTTTCTCCTAATTTCCTAGATTCTTCCTGCATTTTAAACAACCGTCTAACCTTTTATAAACAATGTAATGGTCTCTGTGGGAAAAAAAAGTTCCATGTTCATACATCCATTTGCCGAAGAAAAAGTCTCTGAATTTCACTATTTGCCGCCGTCACAATTTAACGTGATGGAATCACAGCACTTATTTCCCACCATGAGGCGATTGACTTTTTTTGACAATTCTTTAAAACCACCATATTTCCCAAAAGCCACAATTACATCACCACTTGACCTTCTCACCGTCATTGGAAATGGCACCAGCACTTGCAGTTTCCCCTAGTGCTTATAGTTTCTCATCGCCCGTGCCGAACCTGGTGACAAAGTCACAGTGTCATACAACATAGAAGCAGGCCCTTCAGCCCACCATGTCTATGCTGGCCAGCAAACATTAAACTGTACTAATCTATATACCTGCGCTTGGTCCATAGTCTGCTGTGCCCTGACGTTTTAAGTGCTCATCCAGATGCTTCTTAAATGTTGCGAGAACACCTGCCTCTACCACCTTCTCAGGCAGCATGTCATATATTTCTACTACCCAGTGGGTAAAAATAAATTCTCGGATCGCCTCTAAACCACTTACCTTAAATGTATGCCCTCTAATCTTAGACATGTCTACTGTAACACCGTAATGCTATAAACCCTCTGATTCTCCCCACAATAAGCTGCCAAATACTGGACATGGTACACCAAAAGTTACTGAAACAATGCTTTGTTTACCCCTCTCTCCAATCACTCACTCACTCACTCACTAGTGTCCTTCAACAGCACCTTCCAAACCCACCACCACTACCATCTAGAAGGACAGGGGCAGCAGATACATGGGAACACCACCCCTTTCAAGTTGCCCTTGAAGCCACTCACCATCCTGACTTGGAAACACATTGCTGTTCTTTCAGTGTCACTGAAATCCTGGATCTCCCTTCCGAGATAAAGGTTAAGTGGCCATAGTCCTACACTCACATTAAAGAAAAATGATTGGTGGTGGTTTATCCCAAGGGTCACCACACCTCAGATGAGGGGTGACATTGAGAAGGAGAGTCCTTCATGCTAACCTCAGTCAGTGTAGGAATTGAATTTATGCTGGTGGCATCATCTGCATCACAAAACAGACACCCTTCCAGCATTTGGGTATAACTACACAGCATGAGCTCCCAAGAAGGTGTCTGGCTATGGCCTTCTCAAGCGCAACGAGAAGAGACGATAATCTTGCTGGATTACTAATCCAGAGACCAGGAGGCCTACTTCAATGTTCTGCAGAGTTGGGGAGGGGGGTGGCTAGTGGAATTTAAAATCAATCAACTATATATCGGGAATTGAAAATGATGGAGACAATGAGGAATGGGAGATACACAAGGGACCAGAGAACAAGACTGATAGGGTTCAAGAGAAGGGCATATACAAAAATATACAACAAACACAAATACACTGCAGGTACAAGTTACGACGTTTAAACATATAATTGCATATTATCATTGCAAACATTAATACAAAACACAGACTACATATAGTAGTGCTTAGATGCATTGCTTAATTACAGGCACTGCCCAAGTTACAAATGGGTTCTGTTCTTGAGTACATTTGTGAATTGATTTGTGCACAAATTGGAACTCAATACATTACAGTACAAAATAGCTGTTCATAAGTAAACATTCACATATAAGGTCTTTCTAATTAATAATTACTACATCCCTGTATGGGCTCTGATCATAAGCATGCGTGTTTGTAACTTAGACGTTTGTAAATCAGGGAGTGCTCGTGTACTGCTCTTGCACCAGGGACTTGAGACAATGATTGAAATTGACATTACCCCATTGCAGAATTGAGAGTGTCGCTCTCTCAGGTGAGTTAAACCAAGGATCTTTCTATTCTCTCTGGTGAATACAAAATGTCTCGTCTATGGTGACTTCAAAAGTACTTCATTGGCTGTGAAATACTGTGCAACATCCTGAGGGTATGACAGGCACAATAGAAAGGCAAAACTACACAACTTAGGTCTGTTTTCTCTAGAATTTAGAAGGTTAAGTCTACAAAATCAAAGTCTACAAGAAATTAACAAGAAAAGACGTGTAGATAAAGATAAACTATTTCCACTGGTTGAGGATTTTAGGGTGCACAGTCTGAGAATTAGGACCAGGCCATTCACAAGAGATGTTAGGAAGCACTTCTACATACAAAGGGTGGTAGAGGTTTGGAACTCTCTTTCACCCAAGGCAGTGGGTGTTGATTCAGTTGTTACTTTTAAATCTGAGAGACATACAGTTTTGTTAAGCAAAGGTATTAATGGATATGGGCCAAAGGCAGGTCTATGGAGTTAGGCCACAGATCAGTCATGATCTCATTGAATGGTGGAACAGGCTCAAGGGGCTGAGTGGCCTACTTCTGTTCTTATGTTTCAGTCTGATCCTATATAAGTTTTTCCTGGAGTAAATTAGTCTTGTGAATAAAATTAACTTCATACAACAAGTTGGGAAACATCTGGTCAGATTTTCATTTTCCTTTTGAACTGACGCTTACTTCCAATTCCAGTTTCTCCCTTTTCCTGATGTTGGAGAGACTCCTTAGGACCCAGAAACCATCAGGATCTGCCTGTGTTCCCAATAAGATTTAACTCGGACTTGGGATTGGTTGGGAGGAGAATTTTAAGGACTGAATGATTATAGTATTGTGTACTTTTAATGTTTTATGAATTAATACATTTTCCCTCAGTGTTCATGTTAACCACAAATATGTGTCCAATAAATTACATACACATGAAGTGAAGGAATACCTACAGTTTTAAGTACAGTGAGATACTTCATATCGAATCTCCAGTATTTTTAAGTTTGTAACTGAACTGGATAGCTCAGAGTAAGAACTGGCAACAATAAAAAATTATTTGTCTGTTTTTCCTGGGAGTATTTATGCTTTTGACAGAAGACAGTCTTCGTGCATTGTGGTCTTTTCTCATTCACTGTAGCTGTCTCTCTCTCCCTCTCTCCCGCCCCCATCCTGAGCTGTGCTACGTGGCAGAAGTTGGATACAGGCAGTCTGGAATCCCTTTCCACCCACATCTATTGTACAGTCCAGTTCTCAGCCTGCCCTGTTAATGCTGCAAAAACCATAGCTGTTTCATTTCCTGGCTTCACAGTGACAACAAATTGTGGTGACCCAATAGATACTTGCCCAAAATCTGGAATTCGCTCCCACTGACTGGTGAAAAACACTATGTGCAGTGCCCTTTGCAACCTCAGGGCTCCCAAAGTCCAAATGACACCATGGGAGTGATGATATTATTCAGGAAGGTGCTGGTGGAGTAATGGAATCCAGAGGTATAGGTTCTGGGGCCATGGGTTCAAATCCTACCATTGATATTGAGTGAGTTTGAATGTCAGTGTGAAAGCTGGTCTCATGGTGTCCATTAAACTACTCCCGACTGCCATAAACAGATGCATTTGGTTCACCATTGCAATTTAGCGTAGGATCAGAGGAACAGGAGTTGGCCATTCAGCCCCTTGAGCCTGTTTCTCCATTCAATGAGATCATGGCTGAACTG